GGGGGGCTCACACTCACTGCAAATCTCTTTCCCACAGGCTGCTGGTACCCACAGAAAAAGATTAGGGACAAGGCATGAGATTGGAGAAAGCTCCCCTTGGTCCTGGAGGCATGCAGGAGGTGACTGGTGGCTGTCAGAGGAACACACACAGCCCTGCTCATAGAGCCAAAGGGGTGAATCAATGGCTGTTTGAGGTTGGGACAGACACAAAGCTCTGCCTCCTCTACTCACCACTTTCTTCTTTGTTTCTAAAAAGAAAAGCCTATGCCACTGCAGATGCAGCACACTCTCTACTCCTGCCTCTGGGGAAACGCAAGGAGACATGAACCTGGGCCTGTGTTCCTATACTAATCCCAAGCAGAGGTCTTCTATGACCTCATGTACTACCTCTCATTTGGACATACCAATTATTTCTCTCTCTTTTTTTTTCCTTAGAGACAGGGTCTTGCTCTGTCATCCACACTGGAGTGCAGTGATATGATCATAGCTCACTGCAGCCTTGGCCTCCTGTGTTTAAGTGATCCTCCCACCCCAGCCTCCTGAGTAGGTGGGACTACAGGCACATACCACTGTGCCTGGCTAATTTTTTTTTTTTTTTTTTGGTAGAGGTGAGATCTTGGTTTGTTATCCAGGGATGGTCTTAAATTTATAGCCCCAAGCCATCCTCCTGCCTTGGCTTTTGAAAGTGCTATGATTCTAGGAGTGAGCCACTGTGTCTAGCCCAGTAATCTCTTAACTGACCAGTATCTTCCAAAATCTCCCCCACCTGTAATATCATTCTATAAATTCTAAAGTCGGACTCTTATCATCCTAGTTCTGGGTTCTAAAATCTTCAATTGTTTTGCAGTAGAAGGTAATCACACTCCTTAGGCTGGCATTTGTATATCTGTACAGCTGTCTTTAATATAACTTTCAAATTCTCTTTTATGCCATTTCCCTACCTGTTCCTTAGACTCCAGGCTCAACTATTATTCCCTAAACATACCATCCTTTACCAATTCCCAATCTTTGCTTAGGTGACAGTCACCAAAATAATGCAATAATAAAACTAATAGTCAAAGCTGGCCACAGTGGCTCATATCTATAATCCCAGCACTTTGGGAGGCCAAGGTGGGCAGATCTCCTGAGCTCAGGAGTTCAAGACCAGTCTGGGCAACACTGCAAACCCCCATCTCGACCAAAAATGCAAAAAAAAAAAAATTAGCTGGACATGGTGGCACACGCTTGTGGTCCCAGCTACTTGGAAGGCTGAGGTGGGAGGATTGCTTGAGCCTGGGAGGCAGAGCTTGCAGTGAGCTGAGACCACACTGCTGCACTCCAACCTGGGTGACAGGGTAAAACCCTGCCTCAGAATAAATAAATAAATAAATTTATTAGTCAAAATGATAAAATTTAATGATCACCTGTACAGAAGTGAAATTGTGGTTGATAAATTCCATAGTCAATCCTCATGTTTAAGAAAAATCTTAGTAATCTAGAAATAGAAGACTACTTCTTTTAAAAAGATGAAAATACTTATTTCAATCAAAAGCTAGCATCATATTTAATATTAACATACAAAGATGTTAGCCAGGTGCGGTGGCATGTGCCTCTAGCTACTCAGGAGGCTGTGGTAGAAGGATCACTTGAGCCTAGAAGTTTGAGATCAGCCTGGCCATATAGACTCTGTCTCTAAATTGAAAAAAAAATACAAGAATACCCTTACTAACCTAATTGCTTAAGACTATTCTGCAGTTTCAGCTGATTTATAGTTAGAGAAAAACAGACTATGCATATTAAAAAAAGAAAAAATTACTTGCAGACAAAACAATTCCAAATGAAATGAAAAACTATTAAAATAAGATTGTTCAAAAAACTGGTCATCAAGTAAATTCATAAAAATGAATGTTTTCAAATTAGTATTATTATTCCTAACTTTTCCTATAAATTAGAAATGATCAATGAAAAAATATTTGGAAAGAAAAAAAAGTCTTTATTATATTAGAATAACAGAAATTTAAAAATATTTAGGAAAAAGTAGCCATATTCAGATGAAGAAAACAAAATTATACTGAAAAACTTTTTAAAAAATATCTTAATAAACAGAGATAGTGATTAGAGAATACTCAATACTGAAAGACCCAATTTCACCAATTTATAAATGTAACAATTTCATACAAAGTTGCAAAGTTTTTTAAAATTAAAAAAGCAGATACAAAAATTTGTCCAAAAGAAAACAATTTAGAACAGTCAAGAAAATACTGAAAAAGTATAATGATGGGAAAGATGAAGTACCAAATGTTACCACATTACACACATTACGAAATTTAAAACAGTGTCAGACAGTAAACAAAAATGGTCAGGAATAGAAATCCCAGGAACAGATTCAATTCCCAATTAACTGTAAACAACGGAGGCATTAATCAATAAACAATTGGCATTAATCAATAAACAATGCTGGGGCAACTGGTTAACTACTCAGGAAAAAATGTTTCCCTTTCTCATATCATACATTAAAATAAATCCCAGAGAGATTAAAAAAGTTTTATTTTAGATAATGCAAGTAGATAGTTATGATTTTGGGGTGAGAGAAGGCATTAATATTCATAAAAGGTGAGGACAGAATCCACAAAATAAACAAATAATTCCACAAAAAACTTTAAAAAGACATGTCAAACAATTCTATAAAGTTAACACAAATGACAAATGGGAAAATATCTGCACCACAGCGAACAGGAAGATCACTACACTTAATATATAAAAAGCCCGGGACGGCGGAGGGGGAAGGGATGGCATTGGGAGTTATACCTGATGTAAATGACGAGTTGATGGGTGCTGATGAGTTGATGGGTGCAGCACAGCAACATGGCACAAGTATACATATGTAACAAACCTGCACGTTATACACATGTACTCTA